AATAGCTGTAAAATTTTGAGTTAATTTAAGATTGAAAGTAAATTTGAAAAAAAAGAAAAAGTTAATGACTTAAAATGTGCTATGCTAGCAAAAGTGACCATTGCCACAGATCATGCAGACATACAGTAATTTAACAGAAGCTAGACTTACTGAAAGTAAATCAGATTATATACTTTACTCCTATTTTATCATGTTTACACATGGGTACAATGTGTGAAGCCCATTTCTGGTGTCCCCCGCCGTGATATTGCTGGAATATTGCTAAAAGCAGCGTAAAATCAAACTCACTCACTCACTCATGTTTACAGGTTTAGAGCTTGTAACTTACATTTGTTCCCACCCTATGTGGTGTCACAAAGTCCACTGTACACATTACATGATGATAGTAATTAGTATGCTTTGGCTATGATACTGTTGGCAAACAGTAAGCTGACACTCTGTGATGTAACTAACAACGTGTGTTGTCTGACGTTGATTAATGAATATTTTGCATACTCGTATATGCAAGGGGCCGACGTATGGTTCTCAGTAGGAAGAGACAACTTGGAGACGATGGTTGCGGTATATACAGTTTTACTCCATACATGTAGATATATACATACAAAAGACACTATGTGCCAGGTCAGCACATAGTGGTTGTGGTTGTTGTCTAGGTGCCCCGGAGCACCCAGCCTAACCCTAGGTAGACTAAGGGTAAGACCTTTCTTTCCTCCTTTTTGTCAATCTCTCTGGACCAAGGCTTATATAGCCAAGGTCACCTGACATTTAGTAAGTAATAAATATAAACAGTAATTCATCAGTGACATACTTGCACATCTCAATCAGGATGGCAGACGGTCGAGAACACAAAAATGGGGATTAACAATTAGGATTAGCATCTTATAAATAACTGCAATCAAGTGTTTCAAGGCATATAGATGTCATGGCTCCAGGGTAATGAGCCTTTGCAATTAAATGTTCTTCAGACAATGGGTGTCGTAAATCAGTCGCTATGACATAACCATGGCAACTAAAATACTGTTCAAAGCAGCAATAAACGAAACATGTTGTAACCATTTTCCTTTATAAAAAATGTTACCACACAAAAAACTTCGTTTTTGTATGATATACGACCACCCTTACGGGGCCTCACCCTCCACGGCGCGTCACGCCAGGGGGAGCAACTCTCACCCAAATCACTTTCCTTATGTCATCTGTATAAGACAGACGTGCTGTTTTTGTCAAGAGACAAAAAGACCAAACTGTATGTATGGTACATTTCTTTCATTGCAAAGGCGTAATACCTCGCATTGTAAAGATATAGAGTTGTAATTATACGCCACGTGTACGGTACCTTTGAATTCAAATGGCCGTAATGACGTCCATATTGTATTTCCACGGTCTGATACATGTAACACCAAGGCCATTAGAAATGGCTTGGGGTTTTGTTATATCATACAGCATTGGACTACAATTTTTTCCTTTACATAAACCCAAGGTGGTGCGTTCATTTATAACTACACTTACCTTTTTTACGGGTTTTACACCTTTCGCGCGTAACACGCCCCTTTAGTGTTATAATTATACTACGACATTGGCTATTAGTATCGCGTTACAAATCGCATTCTACATTACGCCTTTGCTTCTAGTTTCACAATTTATGCATGTATCTTTCCGATTTTTATATATCGCACTGATACACTTTAATACCCTTCCCGCCCACCTCAGAAATAACGGTCTTTTTTACAGACTTTCAAACTGTGTATGGGTTGTTCTGCATCCATTTCCCCCCAAGACCGGCATGAATGCTGCCTGAAATGTCTGGCGGAGGACGGGCATGACGAAGGGTCATGCCCAATATGCATTGCCTTTACCCCCCGGGCCCAAAAGAAGAGACAAGTAGGCTTAATGCACTTTAAAGGTCTCTTAAAGGCGGGGGTGGATATCAGATCTGCTAAGACCATCCCCCCCCATCTAAAAAGGGTAAAAAAGCTGCCGAGACTGTCTCCTCCATTCCCTCTACGGGAGCCGGGGGAGATGGCTCGAGGGTCCCCGTAGTACGCACTGCACCCTCTCCTGCACCGTCTTTGGCAGACATTTCTGCCTTACTGAAGTAATGATGAAGGGTCGATGATGGAGGAGGTGAAGTCTCTGAGCCTTCCCCGTTGTCGGCACCGGACGCGGCTTCGAGACCTAGTGATATGCCCGGCGTCGGCCGAGGCAGGCCTCTTGGTCTCGGGGACGATCCGAGGCAGGCCTCTCGGGGCCTCCCTAGCGGAGGGCTGGCTGCGCTGGCCCGTGCACTACCGACGCACAATTTACCTAGCGGCGCCAGACGCCTCTTCCGAGGCCAAGGCTTCCTCTAGTGGATACCTTAACCAGAGCCAGGTGAGTTCCCTTGAACCCCCGGCACCTCAGGACCGGGACTCGGCTTTGGGCTGGGTTCAGCCCGTGGGTGCGAGGGCCCAGGCCTTCGGGCGTCCCCTTCCGACTTCGTCTGCTTCATCTCTCGGGGAAGAGTCAATTAACTTCGGCTCGGAATCGAGAGAGGGGGGAGGACTCGGAGACGTTTTCCTTCGCTTCCTCGTTGAGGAACGTGCAGGACAGGATTGTCCAGGTACTGCCTCAGGTGGCTGCATCCATGCCAGAGTCGGATCTGACTGAGTTCCGCCTTCCGGGGGACGCTTTTGCTCCTAGCAAGGCGCCCCAGGTGCGGCTCCATGTTCTATCCTCCCTGGTGCATGAAGTCATCAACCCTTTGTTGGCGGGTGCCCGCAGGAAGTTCAACCTGCCCAAACCTATTAAGCGGTACCCACTTGCAGAGGATGGTGACTTTGAGGTACCTGTGGTAGATGAATGCGTTTGGACTTCCGTTACCCTGGGGGGGGTCTTTGACCCCCAACTTGACTAAGGTCAAGCAGGGCCGGAGGTTGCCCCCCTTTCCCGTGTGCGGTGCGGAGTTGAAGGCTGCTTACATATGCTTGGAGGAGCAATAGTGTAATGCATGCCAACAGCTCCGTGTGTCCGTACACTCTGCGTATCTGTCGGCTGTACAGAGGGACTTAGCAGGGGAGGGGCCGGCCGACTCTTTGGAGTTGGCCGTGCAACTTACGGAAGTTCACAGTCATCTTGCGCGGGACGCTATTCGTAGCTGTGCCTCGCAGATAATGTGCGCTGTTATGGGCATGCGCAGGCTGTGGATGTCGGTATTGCAGACAGAATACTGGCTTCGCAGAGGGATTCGACAAACGTTCAGTACGAGGATAGATAGGCCTGCTATGCGCGCTGGTGTGTCGATAGAGGGATTGCAGATCCCTTTTCTGCAGATCTTGTAGCCGTGCTTGAGTTCCTCCATTCGCGACTAGATGACAGCCTGGCCGCATCGACAGTCCGGGGGTACTCTACAGCTATCGCAGCTTTTCACGTCCCTGTTGACGTGGGTGCACACCCATTAGTGCAGCGCTTTTTAGCAGGTGTGGACAGGATCCGACCGCCTGTCCGGCGGATCAGTCCCCCTTGGGACTTGTCAATCGTTTTTGATTGGCTGTCCAGTCCTTCCTTTCGGGATCTGTCGTCTCTCTCTCTTCAGCTGTTAAGCTGGAAGACGGCGTTCCTTGTGGTGGTAACGTCCGGCAGACGGGTAGGCGACATTCATGCAATGTCAGCCGATCCCGAACTAACTGTCTTCCACCGGGACAGGGTCAGTATTCGGCTGCCGGACTCTTACCGTCCTAAGGTTGCACACGCCTTCCATGTGACGGCTCCTATTGAGCTACCTGCTCTTTCACAGCTTTCCTCGTCGGGGACATTGCAAGACATGCTCATGTTTTGGATGTCCGCAGGACCCTCAAGGCCTATATCAGCAGAACTAAGGGTATCTGTAAGGATAACCAACTATTTTGCTGTTATGGCGGTAGGAAGGCTGGCTCACCTGCGAGCAAACAAACTATCTCGAGGTGGATAGTGTCAACTATTTGTACTGCGTACACGCTTCAAGGCAGGGACCCCCCCTACCAGGTTGAAGGCTCATTCGGTTAGAGCAGTGGCTACCTCACAAGCGTACGGCGCAGCTCTGCCCATTGAGGAGATCTGCTCCGTGGCTATTTGGAGCCAGCCGAGCACGTTCATCAAACATTACCAACTCGACAAACACTCAATACTCGTATTTGCACACGCACTCCTTCGATCAACGGGGACCCTCTGGCCTAGCTCAGCGCGGGTTATAGTCTCTCGTGATCTACGCCCCTATATCACTTGTTCCAAAAAGTGTGTGTGTGGGGGGGGGGGTGTTTCGAGTTCTCGAATATGATAAGCCACAAATACTGGCTCTTTCATTGTATATGGTTGACCACGCCCTGTCTCTAGCCCCCGCCTTTCGACGATGGTGCGTCGCAATAAGGTTGGTTCCATTTATTGAACTCTTTTTTATTCATTGAAAAATCAAAATACGATGTATTTATTTACGCTTGTTGCTGACAGATGCCACTTCCTAGATTATCTTTAGGAGTCTATCTTGATGCAATAAGTGCCCCAAGGAGGATTTAATCTGAAAGAGAATTTTACAAACCTGTAGAGGTTATGAATTCTCTGATGAAATCCTCCTTGGGGCACGGCCACCCACCTCCCCACATTCCGTCAGCATGAGGCATATGGAAAGTGATTTGGGTGAGAGTTGTTCCCCCTGGCGTGACGCGCCGTGGAGGCTGAGGCCCCGATAGGGTGGTCGTATATCATACAAAAACAAAGTTTTTTGTGTGGTAACATTTTTTATTAAGGAAAATGGTTACAACTATGTCATGTAGATTTTCTTGAGCAAGGAAAATGCAATAAGTGCCCCAAGGAGGATTTCATCAGAGAATTCATAACCTCTACAGGTTTGTAAAATTTATCACTGTATTTTGCTTTTTCAGTATGTGCAGTCCTGACAAGTGTTGTTTTGTCAGGTTATGTTTCCAAGTAACAAGTAACAACATTTTCTTTTTGCCAGTTTCATACATGTTTTTTTGTGATTATGCTTTCAGGTGCAGTGAAACAGGCTGTCAAAAAGCTTTTGCTGCAAGTCACCATCTAAAAACACATACTCGAACTCATTCAGGTGAGATCACAGTTCACTCTTCTTTTGGTTGGGGGCGGTCGGGTAGCCTAGTGGTTAAAGCGTTCGCTCGTCACGCCGAAGACCCGGGTTCGATTCCCGACATGGGTACAATGTGTGAAGCCCATTTCTGGTGTCCCCCGCCGTGATATTGCTGGAATATTGCTAAAAGCGGCGTAAAACCATACTCACTCACTCACTTCTTTTGGTTGAGGTTTCAATAGGAACTTAATGCTTCATGATGTCTGCTGTTCTGAGTGTGAGTATTGAAGTGTTTCTGAGATAGGTATTTGTTAGACCTAGATGAGTGGATCTCACATTGAACAAAGAATGTGGTCATTGTGTGTTTTGTTGTGCTGGTAGAAGTTTTCACCAACCATGCCCAACTTAAACTTTACTAGACAGGCATATAGGGAAATATGTGTTGCATAAAAATATGATATATAGTGCTGACTTTTTAAAACATTTTAACCTCCATCATGCATATGGATAAAATATTTCATAGTTTCTATGTTTTAGACTGCATATTTCTATGCAAATTTATAAAAACATGCACATTTACATATATCCCTCATTTACAAATTTCCTACATTGCTCATGTACACCATTTCTTTGATGACATCATACTGCAGTGTGACAACACACAATGAGATTACAGTGACATCATAGCTTAGTGAACTTTGCACCATTACTACTTCCATCTGTTGCCTTAATAAGCAGGTCCTTACAGGTCACAGAATGTTAATTCTTCCCTTTTTTATTTATATGATGAGTATGAGTACTCGGGTGCACTGGATGTTATAGTCACCAGGACTGTCCTCTACCAGAGTGTCTCCTCATTATGTCTCCCCCAGAATGGAGGGAGACATATTGTTTTTGGCACGGTTCCCGTCGGCGTTGGCGTCGGCGTTGGCGTTCCCACCGTTTCCGGACCATAACTCAGAAACCGTTTAATATTTTTTCTCGAAACTTTGTATACACATTAACCCAGCACTGAAGTGGTGCCTTTTGCTATTTAGAGATTTTTGACATTTTTATTTTTTCTCGTTTCCATGGAGATAACTTGAACATAGACTCTGAATGGGGGTAAGCTTGGTTTCCGGACCATAACTCGGAAACCGTTGAATATTTTTTCGCGAAACTTTGTATACACATTAACCCAGCACTGAAGTGGTGCCTTTTGCTATTTAGAGATTTTTGACATTTTTATTTTTTCTCGTTTCCATGGAGATAAGTTGAACATAGGCTCTGAATGGGGGTAAGCTTTGTTTCCTGACCATAACTCAGAAACCGTTAAATATTTTTTCGCGAAACTTTGTATACACATTAACCCAGCACTGAAGTGGTGCCTTTTGCTATTTAGAGATTTTTGACATTTTTATTTTTTCTCGTTTCCATGGAGATAACTTGAACATAGACTCTGAATGGGGGTAAGCTTGGTTTCCGGACCATAACTCGGAAACCGTTTAATATTTTTTCACGAAACTTTGTATACACATTAACCCAGCACTGAAGTGGTGCCTTTTGCTATTTAGAGATTTTTGACATTTTTAATTTTTTCTCGTTTCCATGGAGATAACTTGAACATAGACTCTGAATGGGGGTAAGCTTGGTTTCCGGACCATAACTCGGAAACCGTTTAATATTTTTTCGTGAAACTTTGTATACACATTAACCCAGCACTGAAGTGGTGCCTTTTGCTATTTAGAGATTTTTGACATTTTTATTTTTTCTCGTTTCCATGGAGATAAGTTGAACATAGACTCTGAATGGGGGTAAGCTTGGTTTCCGGACCATAACTCGGAAACCGTTGAATATTTTTTCGCGAAACTTTGTATACACATTAACCCAGCACTGAAGTGGTGCCTTTTGCTATTTAGAGATTTTTGACATTTTTATTTTTTCTCGTTTCCATGGAGATAACTTGAACATAGACTCTGAGTTGGGGTAAGCTTGGTTTCCGGACCATAACTCGGAAACCGTTTAATATTTTTTCACGAAACTTTGTATACACATTAACCCAGCACTGAAGTGGTGCCTTTTGCTATTTAGAGATTTTTGACATTTTTATTTTTTCTCGTTTCCATGGAGATAAGTTGAACATAGGCTCTGAATGGGGGTAAGCTTTGTTTCCGGACCATAACTCAAAAACTGTTCAATATTATTTCATGAAGTTGTAACATATTAACCAAGTCCTGAAGTGGTGCCCATTAGTTGTTTGAAATTTCTAGGAGTTCTATTTTTGTCACTGTTATTTAGTAATGGAGGGTGGGAATGAAGAGATGGGGTTTAACGTGAAGTAAACGAATGAATGGTGGTTAGGGGAGTGGGGGGAGACATATGTTTTTACGAGTAAAAACACTTTCTAGTTCTGTGTTGTCTGCAGTTGTGCCTCGTGGTTTGTTTCAAGGCTGGCATCTTCTTTGAATCAAGATGCTTGTTAGTAGTGAGTTTGTTTTTTACGCCGCCTTTTAGCAATATTCCAGCAGTATCATGGCATGGGACACCAGAAATGGGCTTCACACATTGTACCCATGTGGGGAATTGAACCAGACTTTTGACATGGGGGCGACAACCATGGTGGCAACATTGTTGATCGGGGCTGTTTCCTGCCCTTGACAGGCCAACACCCTCCATGCCTACAATTAGTGCTTTGGTCTTACACCAGCGTCTCTCCTTGTCCCGCATCCTGGCTCGTCCATGAACGCTGGTATCGACATCAGCAACTTACTGAGATCCAGCATTATGATGACCACCACTATCGCCTGGATAGGAGCCTTCACCCTCCATTAGGTGCTCTGTATGTCAGCGTCCCAGGACTGTTTTACACCAGCAAAACACTTGCTATCCGGACCAGATATCAAACTTCACATGGGCCTCATGATGGGTTTTGTTGCCAAACACCAACAACTATTGGAAGTAGATAAAGATTTGATGACATCTCCGCTGTGATCGGTACTGCGGCATGATGACACTGCTGACTTACCAGTATGTCCAGTCAATACTTGAATGTGACAAGGTCTACCAGGAAGCAGTGGAAGTGGCTGTTCTTTCCACTGGAGTCTTAGAGCCAAGATGAAGTCACTAAGAACACAATGGTATTCTGGCTCAGGGAAACAATCCAGCAAGCATACCAACATGCACCTAAGGATCCTCCTCAAGCACATAATCTACATGGAATTAGGGCCTTGGCATCAATGATCAAGGGTCCACTGTCAACTGTTCAGTGGGAGATGTCATCATGTGATATTGGTGAACAGACATCTTTGCCAACTATAATCTGAGGGATATCTCTGTGGAGGATTTTCTGATCCTCCAAGCATTTGCCACATTTTCCCTTGTGTCACATAGTGTTCTGAGGGATTGCTGGGATCTTGTTGCTATTTTCTTGAACTTGAAGGTTTGCTCCTCCGAGAGTCACCACAAGCTACTGCTCAGTGTGCCCTAGTAAATATTTTATGAGAGATTGTTGGGCTCTGACTGCACCTTGAAGTTCGAATCCTCCACGCATCACATATTGGAAGCCACATAGATACTCGAGCATGTGACATAGCTTTGCATATCAGAGTAAGAATGTGACAAGTGTCAAGGTCGCTCACCCATCAAGGAATTTGTTACCTGTGGGTTTAAGAAAGAGTTGGCATCATGACAGTCTTCTTGTTTGTAACACCACAGATAGATAGATTGTCTTTATTTCCTCCAGTACTGAAGATACATTATATAAGATACATTGTAGATACATGAATATAGATTAAAACTAAACAAAGTAGTTACATGTCAAAGTGAAGAGGGTATGAACATGTGTTGCCACTTGTTAATGTAATGAGAGACTAGTAACATAGTTTCGCCCCATATCTCAAGCTCAAGGTCTTTCATGCAATCAGGCAGTCCCCCCTAAGAGGAAAGACATGATAACATCATCATCATTTGACCAAAGGTCAACAAAGGAATTTGTGTCTGTGATATCAAAGATATTTTTGAACATTTCATTTCCTTCTTGCATATTAATAGTACATGACATAAAAATGTGTTTGACTATGTCATGGGCTACAGTTCCGCAATGACATTCTCGCGATTCTATCTTAGAGCATCCTATTTTGACCATATTAGACAGAACGTAAAACTTTGAAGGAAATCGTAAAGAAAGTTGCCAAATCCTGTGTTGACCTTCTGACCTGATACCAGTATATCTTAACAGGTCCTGTCGGTCGCACATTTGTTTTAAAAGCCTTACAGAATTTCTTATCTTTTCATTCACAAGACTAGTCCATTTACATTTACTGGGAACATTGCAATTAGCTATGTAATCATTCAAGGCATGGAAAAGATCTTATTTATGTACAAGGCACAGCATGTTAAAACCGGGAGAATTATAACATCTTTTGTCGATAGAAGTCGCAGCTAGATCGACACAGTTTAGCAAATAAGAGCAGAGCTTGTTTATCAATGTATGCCTGAATTGTAATAAGATCTAGACTATCCAATACAACTTCGCTTGATGTAAGTCTTGGTAGACCCTGTATTTTTTTACTGAAGTAGCGCTGTGGTATTTCCAGCAATTCATACTCTCTACCAGTAAGTTGCCCCCATACATTGCATCCATATAAGGCACATGGCAAGATTACTCTCTGTAGTATTCGCACAGCTGCAATTGGGTTCAACCTACCGAAATACAAGCCATTGTTATGGTTTACATTAATAAGTCTTTTCAGTTTTTCACATGCAATACGCGAGCGTTCGAGTGTTGAGATACTGTCACTAAGGCATACCCCAGTATACGTTACAAAATTCTTGTGTGGCAATTCTATCTTTCAACAGGAAACATGAGGGTCGGGTTCATTATATTTACAGTGCGAAAATACTACGACTGCACTTTAATTCACATTATAAACCAGACGCCATCTACACGCATAATTGTGAGCAATATCTAGCAGGTTTTGCAGTACTGATGGAGAGCTACTGACAATGGTTTTATCGTCTGCTAGCAGTTGACCTGGATAGCGACCCCAAGGTAAGCGGAGGCCGTAGCCAGAGCAATCAAGCTTGCAAATGAGATCATTGATATATAATGTGAAAAGCCAGGCAGATAATACACGTCCTTGACCAACACCTTGATAGATAGAAAATACATCTGAGCTGTATAGGCATTACGCAAAAGACGCCATGTTTTACCAGTTATACCCATGTCATATAGCTTAAGGAAAAAGCCATCAAGCCATACTCTATCAAATGCCTTTGCATTATCAGGAAATGCACAATAAACAACTAATTTTTTTTCCGTACAGTATGCAATGTATTCAAGGAGGCTGAAGCAGGCTGTTTCAGCCCCTGCATTTTTGCGAAATCCGAATTGTAACGGATGTGGGAAAACACACTTTCTGTTTACCCACTTTTCAATTCTGAAAAGCAGGAGGCGTTCAAAAAGCTTACTGAGGACAGTTGTTAAGGTAATCCCTCTGTACTTGTTTGGGTCAGACTTGCTCTTACCATGGCCTTTGTGAATTGGTAAGATCTTGCCCACGTAATAAGAAGATGGTATATATTCATATTTAATTATAGCATTGAACATTGTAGTTAAATGCACGTTTAAGGTGTTCATTAGTTAGGCAGTCTGGACCAGGGGATTTTCCCATTTTCAATGACTTGACCACCAAACCTCTTGGGAGGTAAAAGGATCGGATAGCGGTGAATCAAGCTTTTCCACATCAGGATTTTTATAGATCTTTTTCTATTAATTCTACTCTTTCCGTCACATCAGAAGCAAAAGAGTTATCAAAACAATCAGACATTACAGGTGTAGCTAAGTCAGCAAAATACATGCCAAACGCTGAGCATATGTTCTGTGGCGTCGTTGAAGAAATCCCATTAATGGTTAATTCTGACATTTGTCCATTCTGTCTCGATAAGCGTTAAGTCACTTTCACATATTCATTAATGTCCACTTCTGCAGCTTTCGATATTTCACAGAGTTTATCGTCAAGACTGCGTTGTTTTGATCTGCGGTGGCGTTTTCGAAATTCACGTTTAGCGTCTTTGTACTTTCTATAGTGTTCATCGTCTGTATTATGAGATTTCCCACGAGTCATGCCAGAGTCCGCGACATCGTCTCATTTCATTATGGAGAGGTTTCAAGCCATCTCTTTTCCAATATGGTTTCAGGTACGAGCGATATCTGGAGCATGGCATACTGTTGTTTGATGAATCTCTGAGTGCCTGTACGATAAAGTCGTTGTAGGAGTTGATATATTCTGCAGGAGTTGAGTAGCATGACAAATCAACGCACGTCTCTCGGAGATGGTTCTCAGTCTCATACCAGTAGAGCATCAAGTCAACTTGCATTTTTCCAGTCAATCTTGTCACCACCATAGTGTTTACTGGAACCGGCGACATTAAGATACACAATTATAGGCAAGTGATCAGACACACTGTAGGACACTGTAGTGTCAATCATATGTCCAGTTACACAAGGGAGGTATTCTTTATGTACATAAACATAGTCAGTGAGAGTTCTCGAAGAATTATTCTTTGTTGAAAATGTATATTGAGACTGATTGTCAAGAGGAACAATAGAATTTCAGTGAGTGCTCTCTGTAAATATGACGCACGTTTTCTTGTGGGTTGAAGATGTTTGCACAGATCTACATTAAAATCCCCGAGGAGAATAGTGTCACCTTCGTGTGAATATTGATCATACAGCGTCATGGTAAAGTCAAGAGCGTCTATACATACGCAATCTAAAGCATTGGAAGATGGCAGATATGTTCCAATGACATAGATCAGTTCTTCATTCGTTTTAAGTTTTAGACCTAATATACGGTCCCGGCTATTGGTATCCAGAAGTGTGACCTTACACTGTTTTGATTTTCTCCCCCAAAGCCTCTGTGACACAAACATTAGATCACAGTGGTCTAATCTGGAGGATAGTTCATGCTCCCTTTTAACAGTCAAAGAATCCTATATGTCACAAATCTCTTCTTGCAGATTGGAAAGTGTCAAGCAATTACTGGCCACAAATTTTCACTCTCAAACTTTATGCATCCCAAAAGCATAACACTCCGACGTTTGCCAGGGGGTGGACTGAGGTATCCTAGGTACCAATCTTCTCTCACCTTCTGCGACACAAAGTATGGTTGTCAGTCCCGATTTCTATCTTAGATTCATCACTAAACACTACCTTATCCCAGAATCCAAAAATTGGCATTCTCAGTTTAGATCGGCACCACAAAACTTGATTTTTCCTGTTGACCTCTTGAATTCTGATTTTGAGTTTGAGAACAATCCTTCTGTGATAGCCCTCCCGATATAATTCATGCTGAATAGTTCTCTTGGATACAGGCCTGTTTTCATTAAAGTTGTTAGTAATTTCTGTAAGCGATGATCGTCTATTGATACTACGAATCAACACACCTCTGTCACGCTTGCTTAGAATCCTCGGTCTACCAGTTTGTGGCTGATTTTCTGAACTAAAGTGATGAATCACACCATGCACTGTGCTCTTGGGTAGATCCAGCAGTTGACTTATTTCACTACAGGGTTTACCTTTCAAATGCAGGTCGATGATAACGGAGACAGAATAAGTCAGTGGCAGAAATCAAGAGAAACAGAGCAGATGACAACAAACTATGTGGCACACGATACTTGATGACATCATCAATCTGTGGGCAAAGTTTCGCATCATAGTATTTCGCAGGTCGAAAGTTAGATGTGCTAAACCAAATGCAATGGTCTCTTGCCAAACGTGCGATGCCTCAAGTGTCCCTTTACTTGTAGCATGGGAGTGTACATGATCTGCAGGGCATGGGTCTTAGTGTGAGTAGATTTATCAGACTGAGAGACATACCTGAGGACTGCATTTGTTTCATTAGAAAACAAGACACTTTTTAAGAAGTGAAGATACATAATTGAGTCAGGACCACATAATCCAGTGATTGATGTCTTGAGTATTGATCTAACAATTGGATATGATGACATGCATCAACCCACGTACCATCCAGTCAGTAAGACCACCCGATCATGTTTGTTGCCTCTAACGACCCCATGGTTGCTGAAGGCCCATTCTAACGCGGATCTAAAGGGTGTATGCACTGTTGTTTCCTTTGCCTGAATCTGCCTTGTGTTTGCATGCAGGTGAGAAGCCATACACATGTTCCCAGGAGGGATGTCACAAGTCTTTCACAACCAACTATAGCCTCAAGTCTCACAAGAACAGACATGACAAGGGCGGAGGACAGTCCGATCCGTCAGGGACACACGTGAGTTTAGCACACAAACATACACAGGAGCAGCATGTAGTTCGCAACCTAGAGAAGCTCAGCTCCTCTCTCTGGGGTGCCTTAATTTGCCGTGCAGTTGAATTCCTTAGGTTTGCCTGAATTCTATGATTGTGAGTTTGTATCCCAGATTTGCTAAGGTTATGTCAGCACCAGCTGATGTATTGTAGTATCCCAGGTGAAGCGTCTGCCTCCTTCCCAATCTCATTAAAATCAGACCTTAGTTCTTGCTACCGCTTAACAAAGATCTGAGGATATCCTATTAGGGGTCACATCAGAACGACCTTTCATCCGACCAATCAGAGTGTCGCTTACCAGATCATGAAAGAGACCATCGGAATGTGATTTCTTATCATGCAACCACGAAAGCTAACAGGGGGTATTCCAAACAATAGTTGCGTGTTTAACAACTGAATCCATCTATTAGCTTTTCCAGAATGTTCCAGATTCTTTGTCAAAATATGTTTCGAAGGGTTGTCGCCAATTTGAAATTAGTGCCATAAAGCTAGAGAAAGCTGCCTTCTGATTGGTCATTCCATTGGTTGGTCAAAGTTTGCGCAAGGTATGTATTGTAGTATTCCAGGTGAAGCGTCTACCTCCTTCCCAGCTGATGTATTGTAGTATTCCAGGTGAAGCGTCTGCCTCCTTCCCACCTGATGTATTGTAGTATTCCAGGTGAAGCGTCTGCCTCCTTCCCAGCTGATGTATTGTAGTATTCCAGGTGAAGCGTCTGCCTCCTTCCCAGCTGATGTATTGTAGTATTCCAGGTGAAGCATCTCCCTCCTTCCCAGCTGATGTATTGTAGTATTCCAGGTGAAGCGTCTGCCTCCTTCCCAGCTGATGTATTGTAGTATTCCAGGTGAAGCGTCTGCCTCCTTCCCAGCTGATGTATTGTAGTATTCCAGGTGAAGCGTCTGCCGCCTTCCCAGCTGATGTATTGTAGTATTCCAGGTGAAGCATCTCCCCCCTTCCCAGCTGATGTATTGTAGTATTCCAGGTGAAGCGTCTACCTCCTTCCCAGCTGATGTATTGTAGTATTCCAGGTGAAGCGTCTGCCTCCTTCCCAGCTGATGTATTGTAGTATTCCAGGTGAAGCGTCTACCTCCTTCCCAGCTGATGTATTGTAGTATTCCAGGTGAAGCGTCTGCCTCCTTCCCAGCTGATGTATTGTAGTATTCCAGGTGAAGCGTCTACCTCCTTCCCAGCTGATGTATTGTAGTATTCCAGGTGAAGCGTCTGCCTCCTTCCCAGCTGATGTATTGTAGTATTCCAGGTGAAGCGTCTGCCTCCTTCCCAGCTGATGTATTGTAGTATTCCAGGTGAAGCGTCTGCCGCCTTCCCAGCTGATGTATTGTAGTATTCCAGGTGAAGCATCTCCCCCCTTCCCAGCTGATGTATTGTAGTATTCCAGGTGAAGCGTCTACCTCCTTCCCAGCTGATGTATTGTAGTATTCCAGGTGAAGCGTCTGCCTCCTTCCCAGCTGATGTATTGTAGTATTCCAGGTGAAGCGTCTACCTCCTTCCCAGCTGATGTATTGTAGTATTCCAGGTGAAGCGTCTGCCTCCTTCCCAGCTGATGTATTGTAGTATTCCAGGTGAAGCATCTCCCCCCTTCCCAGCTGATGTATTGTAGTATTCCAGGTGAAGCGTCTACCTCCTTCCCAGCTGATGTATTGTAGTATTCCAGGTGAAGCGTCTGCCTCCTTCCCAGCTGATGTATTGTAGTATTCCAGGTGAAGCGTCTGCCTCCTTCCCAGCAGATGTATTGTAGTATTCCAGGTGAAGCGTCTGCCTCCTTCCCAGCTGATGTACCGGTATTGTAGTATTCCAGGTGAAGCGTCTGCCTCCTTCCCAGCTGATGTATTGTAGTCTCCAGGTGAAGCGTCTACTTCCTTCCCAGCTGATGTATTGTAGTATTCCTTGGTGATTGCAGGAAGCAGCAGAGACACATGACAGTGGAGGGTCCATGACAGCTGAACAGCTCTTCAACACTATCTATGTGAATCCTACAAGTACGGACCATGTGAGCCTGGACGAGGCTGCTCTGCAACAGACAGATGTTGTGCCAGGTACAGGACTACTGCTGCCCCTAATGTAGATTCTCCATCAATGTTACATAGTGTTCTATTAAGGTAGCAGGTACAATAATAGCAAAAACTCTCTGTTGTTAGATTGCATGTTCAAAATGGAAGGTATTACACTTGTTCTTGTTTGATACAGTTACACAACAAACAACACACTAATTCTTCTTTGAGTGGCATTATGTCTCCCCCAGAATGGAGGGAGACATATTGTTATTGGCACGGTTCCCGTCGGCGTCGGCATCGGCGTCGCGTTCCCACCGTTTCCGGACCATAACTCAGAAACCATTTAATATTTTTTCGCGAAACTTTGTATGCACATTAACCCAGCACTGAAGTGGTGCCTTTTGCTATTTAGAGATTTTTGACATTTTTATTTTTTCTCGTTTCCATGGAGATAAGTTGAACATAGGCTCTGAATGGGGGTAAGCTTTGTTTCCTGACCATAACTCAGAAACCGTTTAATATTTTTTCGCGAAACTTTGTATACACATTAACCCAGCACTGAAGTGGTGCCATTTGCTATTTAGAGATTTTTGACATTTTTATTTTTTTTCGTTACCATGGAGAAAAGTTGAACATAGGCTCTGAATGGGGGTAAGCTTTGTTTCCTGACCATAACTCAGAAACCGTTTAATTTTTTTTCGCGAAACTTTGTATACACATTAACCCAGCACTGAAGTGGTGCCTTTTGCTATTTAGAGATTTTTGACATTTTTATTTTTTCTCGTTTCCATGGAGATAACATGAACATAGACTCTGAATGGGGGTAAGCTTTGTTTCCTGACCATAACTCAGAAACCGTTTAATATTTTTTCGCGAAACTATGTATACACATTAACCTAGCACTGAAGTGGTGCCTTTTGCTATTTAGAGATTTTTGACATTTTTATTTTTTCTCGTTTCCATGGAGATAACTTGAACATAGACTCTGAATGGGGGTAAGCTTGGTTTCCGGACCATAACTCAAAAACCGTTTAATATTTTTTCGCGAAACTTTGTATACACATTAACCCAGCACTGAAGTGGTGCCTTTTGCTATTTAGAGATTTTTGACATTTTTATTTTTTCTCGTTTCCATGGAGATAAGTTGAACATAGGCTCTGAATGGGGGTAAGCTTTGTTTCCTGACCATAACTCAGAAACCGTTTAATATTTTTTCGCAAAACTTTGTATACACATTAACCCAGCACTGAAGTGGTGCCCATTAGTTGTTTGAAATTTCTAGAAGTTTTATTTTTGTCTCTGTTATTTAGTAATGGAGGGTGGGAATGAAGAGATGGGGTTTAACGTGAAGTAAACGAATGAATGGGGGTTAGGGGAGTGGGGGGAGACATACGTTTTTACGAGTAAAAACACTTTCTAGTTAGAAGTTGTTGTGATGCACAAGGACAAGATCTTTTGGATAAACTTCTTTATTACAATTGAGGCTATTCAATGTAGATTCTAACACCTTGGCAAGCAAGTTCCAAACAACCTTAGATTCTAACAACTTGATACGTCTCACTTTACAAATACATATATTTCTAGTACCGTTCATCACACAGTCATCGCTATTAAAGTACAGTGCAATTTGAAACAATAGTTCAGCTTATTTTGTACTTACCTTTTAATCCAAATGTAAATGGTAATGGTGCATGATCATGCCTTGCTATTTCGAATGTCAGGATAACTTTTAAGTTACAACAAGATGCGGTCCGACTGTATATACATGGGGTCTTCCCACTTACCCAGGTTGTTTGGTTCTAAGTTTTTGGCTCCCCCTGAAATGGTATCCATTTGGTGAATAATATAAATAGGTTAAGATGATGTTTTAAACGCCAGCTGCATATCATTGATGACAATAAACTGCTAATGTAAACAATTACATACTCTGAGGGCCTAGGTTTGATCCCCCCACATGCACAGTCCCTTAAACCAGGCTTCTCTTTATATATGAATGCATTTCAGAGGCAAGAATAGAACTCAGTTCACCCTTTGGGATGTTCATATATTTTCATATTTCATTGCAGGTTTACAAACAGTTCCTGTTCAAGAAATACTGCAGCCAGTGATTCCTGTAGTGGATACTGGTGCATCAGGAGCTGCCATGCCCTCAGAGGGCAGTGGGTGTGTCCAGCATGTTATTCTCAACCAGTCAGCTATACCCACCCTCTCAGATGCAGCCACAGACTTCCTTCTTCCCAGCAGTCTCAGCAACTCCACACACACAGGCACACTTCCTGTCAGCAACCGCTTGCAAGGGGAAGTAACCCAGCCCCAGAACATTGTCCCAGCCCCCACAACAGATGCAGTGCAGCTCCAGATTCAGACAGCTTCAGGCAGCACTGTTCCAGTCAGTCAGATCTTTGTGCCAGTGGTTTCTAACACGGACAAGGGTCCAGTCATAGAGCTTGTGCCACTTCAGAACAGCATTTCAGTGAACGATGAAAGCCGCACATGAAATGCCACATAAACCCTATGCTTCAAGATTTTTACCTTTTTGTGGAATTTATGTGTTTGATAATTTTCATGTTGTTTTGTCTTCACACCCCAGGACAATGTGTGCATATTTCTATGTGTCAGCTTGTTGCAGACGGCTGCCTGCTTTGTGCACTGTGTTTAATACCTACTATCTACTACACATTCACAACTTGCCAAATCTTAAGTTCAAATTGAGCCATTCACCATAAACTGCCTTTGTCTTCAGGATGCATGGTTCCATGTGTCACAATACTGATGGCAGATAGAAGGTATGTGAATACATCTAAATGAAAACTTGCCTGAAAAGTAAATGTTCTGGAATAATCTACTTACACATTTCATTTGCAATATTATCTTTATTCATTAGCAGCCTGTTTTTTGGGTGTAAGTGTCCATTACATACCCTAACCACCAGAACCAACACCCATCAACTTCCCCACCCAACATCACCAGACACATTACAGTCAGATTTTCACTTAAATATGGCAACTTTCTGTGCGAAAATCTAAGGACACCTCCATAAGGAGTCACTTCAGGGGAGCTTTCTAATCCGCCAATCAGCCTCGAGGCTTCTAAATTCTCAGTATGAGTAAGCAAAATATTCAGACATGCATGTGTGATTTCTGTATCTGGAAAACAAATATAATCAGGGTCTTCCAACTGCCAAAAAATGAAATGGCGCCAATATATTGTGGTAGATATGTTATACACCCTGTCCAAATTGAGCTGGTAAAGGAAGGAAGTCGAATCATTTTGGAAAGCTGACATCTGATTGGCTCAAGAAACCGATGCATCATCCATTTAGATCGGGCAGGCAAAGTTTGCTCAGGGTTCATCTGATGCAATCTTTGAAGGTGTCCTCAGATCTTAATGCAGAGAGGTATTGTATTAGAGTGAAGGATCTGATTTTAGTGAGATTGTAACACTACCACCCCTCAACATCACCCCTTCATCACCATCAGTGAGTGATGGCCCTCCAAGTCAAGCTGTACACACAGGCTGTGTCTTTCCCAACTGTTCCTTCTGTCCATTCATAGACATAACAGTTGTCATCCATTTCTTTTTTTTCTAGTAACTAACTAACCAAGGACCTTGCTCCACTAGGACATATTATAAATGTGGCCTCCTTTTGGGTGTTTTGAAATAATGTGATGTCTCATAGCAAATTCAAATTCTATAATTAGCTTTACCAGGATATGAACTGATTGAAGTTTGGTTCGCCAACATTAAAAATGAGGTTACCTTGGGGGTGGTCTCATCTTCAATGTATTATAAGTGCTTTTACCCGTACATTTTTCTGTAACGTACTCAGAAGTTATTGTACAGATAATATCAAGATATATTTACCTTTTTCAGAAATAATTAGCTTTGAATTTAGGTCACTTGAATTGGGTTTCCTTGTCTATTGAAAATTAAACTTGAGCCATACACTCATTATTTGATACATATTTTGACTCTACTTTTACATAATGCTTCTGTCTCATACATGAAATACACTAGTGGCAACAACTACAACCAGACTACATCGAAGGGCTGCAGCAGCCTACAACAATGGCACTGGGCTACCTTAATTTCAGCAGGCTACTATGAGCTGTTGTTTACAAGAGTATCACTAAAGACAGAAAGAGAGCTAATGCTAATATATGTATTACACACATGTTCACTGTGTGGAAAGAGGCATGGGTTGTTTTACTGTGTTGTTATGATTTTTTATTATTGAAATGTTTGTTGATTTGTGTAACTATCATGGATAAAGAGATATGTCTTGTTGTGTTTGATAAATGTGCTCCTGTATTTTCTCTTTTCATGAGACCACTAATAAGCACTTGGTTGTGAATATAGCTAATGTGGTGGCTCACTTAAATATTGATATTACTCCAAGCAATAGCTTCCTTGGGGCTGTGGGGAGCATGTGTAAGCATATTTCACTGTCTCTGTCATTTCACCAAAATGCCACAAGGAAAGGGTCCCCATCCAAAAAATACTAATCATCTGTCCATGAGATATTAACCCATGCCCCAATCTTTCAGTTATAAAGAATAAAACAATATTGTTGGGACAACTACAAACATATCCTCACAGTGGATAAGAAAGTCTGAGAAAACTGATATCAGTTCATTTTAAGAGACCTCATTTTTTAACTTATCCTGCATTCCTCCTTAATGCATTTAGTGCTTGCTTTTGATGGCAATGACGCTGTGATTGGTTCTGCAGAAGAGAGAAAAAAAGGGTTGTTCCATTCCATCAACAGGGCCCCCCATTCACCAGCTGCCATGTCATCCCGGAAGTGGTGACGTCCCGGGACTTTCATAGGACTGATAACAACTGCTGCTAAATTGGTCCCACTTTTTTTTGCTGTTTTTGCTGTCTCCCGTGATCTACAACTTGCCTTCAACCTAGTCCCTTCCCCCTGTGAACAGGTGTTTGGTTTGACATCATTTATATGCAATAGTATTTATTATTAGCACATGAAGGCAACAGTTGTCACAGTATTTCACATGTGACATCTTTTTCGTTCTGTATTTCATTGTCGGCTAGATATTAGCTTTGTGTGTATATACCTTTAGCCGTCTATTGGCATTTATAATGTAAAACATGTATCATAGTACGCTATATATCCATTATTTTGAATTTTAATCTTTGTTCTCTATAATTGGGTATCATACTTCTTGCAACTTTGCCATAAATTGGTTTAATTTATACAAGTTGCTGGCACTCTCAACTGTTTTCTTGCCTGTTACAGTGTAATACTATTCCTGGTTTACAACGTATATCCATTATTTATATAACAATCAAGTTTGTTTTGTTTTCAATAATTGGATGATCGATTCATTAACAACTTCAACTTAAATTGGTTTTCAATTTATACTTGCTCGTTGTACCATTTGCTATGGTAAAAAAAGTTGAAGTTCCTCACCTACGATGCTTAAATTCTACTCAACCTTGTACCTCAGGGCTAATGTGTAATATTTTTTCACCACTTCCCCTCAAGTTAGAACGGGTATCCGCAGGTATTGTCCAAGCGCCAGGCTCAGCTATCTCTCCGGTCACTTGAAGAAAATGTTGGTCTCTCAGGAGTCTACCTGCTGACCTCCCCTGTCATTACCACCCAGCCCACCACTGACACGGGCTGGGCGATGTCCACACCCACATGGACCTCCGACATCCTACAGACACTTCAAGCTACCCAAGCGCAGAGCACTATTGTAGCTTCTACATTGGCGTCTATGGCTCAAGTGCAGAGCACTATTGTAGATTCTACATTGGCATCTATGGCTCACGCGCAGAGCACTATTGTAGCTTCTACATTGGCGTCTGTGGCTCAAGCGCAGAGCACTATTGTAGCTTCTACATTGGCGTCTATGGCTCAAGCGCAGAGCACTATTGTAGCTTCTACACTGGCGTCTGTGGCTCAAGCGCAGAGCACTATTGTAGCTTCTACATTGGCCTCTGTGGCTCAAGCGCAGAGCACTATTGTAGCTTCTACATTGGCGTCTTGGCTCAAGCGCAGAGCACTATTGTAGCTTCTACATTGGCGTCTTGGCTCAAGCGCAGAGCACTATTGTAGCTTCTACATTGGCGTCTTGGCTCAAGCGCAGAGCACTATTGTAGCTCCTACATTGGCGTCTATGGCTCAAGCGCAGAGCACTATTGTAGCTTCTACATTGGCGTCTATGGCTCAAGCACAGAGCACTATTGTAGCTTCTACACTGGCGTCTATGGCTCAAGCGCAGAGCACTATTGTAGCTTCTACACTGGCGTCTATGGCTCAAGTGCAGAGCACTATTGTAGCTTCTACATTGGCATCTATGGCTCAAGCTCAGAGCACTATTGTAGCTTCTACATTGGCGTCTGTGGCTCAAGTGCAGAGCACTATTGTAGCTTCTACATTGGCGTCTGTGGCTCAAGTGCAGAGCACTATTGTAGCTTCTACATAGGCATCTTGGCTCAAGCGCAGAGCACTATTGTAGCTTCTACATTGGTGTCTTGGCTCAAGCGCAGAGCACTAATGTAGCTTCTACATTGGCGTCTTGGCTCAAGCGCAGAGCACTATTGTAGCTTCTACATTGGCGTCTATGGCTCAAGCGCAGAGCACTATTGTAGCTTCTACATTGGCGTCTTGGCTCAAGCGCAGAGCACTATTGTAGCTTCTACACTGGCGCCTATGGCTCAAGTGCAGAGCACTATTGTAGCTTCTACATTGGCGTCTATGGCTCAAGCGCAGAGCACTATTGTAGCTTCTACATTGGCGTCTATGGCTCAAGTGCAGAGCACTATTGTAGCTTCTACACTTGCGTCTATGGCTCAAGTGCAGAGCACTATTGTAGCTTCTACATTGGCGTCTATGGCTCAAGTGCAGAGCACTATTGTAGCTTCTACACTTGCGTCTATGGCTCAAGCGCAGAGCACTATTGTAGCTTCTACATTGGCGTCTATGGCTCAAGTGCAGAGCACTATTGTAGCTTCTACATTGGCGTCTATGGCTCAAGCGCAGAGCACTATTGTAGCTTCTACATTGGCGTCTATGGCTCAAGCGCAGAGCACTATTGTAGCTTCTACACTGGCGTCTATGGCTCAAGTGCAGAGCACTATTGTAGCTTCTACATTGGCGTCTATGGCTTAAGTGCAGAGCACTATTGTAGCTTCTACATTCGTGTCTATGGCTCAAGCGCAGCAAACAACGTTGGTTATGACCTTCAGCAGCGCCTGTCTACACTTCTACAAGACGTGCACCTTCCACTCTCCATCATATGACAGGGTCGTCTAAGCCAAGTCTATCCAGATATCGGACACCCGACTGGCTTTCATACAATGGAGGTTCGACATTTCCTCATGCCTTGGCAGCACCTAGCCTCATGGTGAGGGCTCTGTGAAATTTCCCACCACCTGCTCCCTATCTAATCAGTAAACATTCAATGTTCAAATATCTCATTCTACACAGAACTCGGAAATGCCACTTCTCTGTCTAATATACATATATGTGTGGAGATTGAACCTCATTTCCGGCAAAATGCTGGACCCAAGGTTACTGCAAAGGTTGATTTAAATTTCATGTGCCAAGAACTCGCTGACTGTAAACATACCTGACTATACCAGAATTAGGTCAACTGAGCTGACGCTAGCCATGCAGTGTATTTGTACAGATTGGTCTGCAGGCCTAATTGTCAGACGCCTGTCACTGTACTTCAGTGGGACTAATCACTACGTTCAGTAGGCCTCCAATGCCAACAGAGTAGTAATGAGGCACCACTTTCATTGCTACCTCGATATAAGAATGGGAGCGCTTATATGATGCTCAGGGGATAGAAACAATCAACTTACTTCATACGGTACAATCTTTCAGACACAAGAATTATATATATATTCAGCCTTATCTGTGAGATACAGAGTTGATTTTATAATTCTTCCCACAACAATTACGTCGACCTCTGATGACAACATGCAGAGGTACGAGCACCTCCCTTCATCGTCACCTCAATATAACAATGAGAGCGCTTATACAACGTCCATGGGTTGGAAATGATCACCTTACTTTGAAAGGTGAGATCTTTCAGACCAACGATTTATATATACAACTTGATCTACTGGATACAGCTCCAAATTTATTATTCTTCCCCATGACATTTATGTCGTGCCTCAGCGATTGGTTAGGGAGCGCATTTGGTTCGCTGAAGAACATATTTTTCCATGTAACATCAAGGCAGAACATGATCAGAAACAGTCCTAAAGTTGACTTTTCAACTTTACAGTCTTTAAGACAGAATAATCTAAATCTGCTACCCGTTCTTCAGCAGCCCAATACATTTCACCAATGGCAAGAGCTCCTGGGACTGCTCACATCAGCCTAGTACCTGACAAACAGTTGGAGGTGCTCATACTGGTGAAAACACATTGTGCCTTAGAAAAACCCAACTAACCATTTCCACTGACAACATCACAGTGGTCTGATATCTGCAGAATCAGGGGACAATTCACTCACACTCTGTTCCAAAAGTACTTTCAGGTTCTTCAACCTGGTGGATCAAGAGGGACTGTGGCCTCACCCCACACCAGGCAGGTTGCATCTGCGCATCTGATTCATTTACAAAGAGCCCTTGGCAAGAAAGGCTATTCGGCAAGAGCGGCTGAGGCCATTGCTATGGCATATAGACCTTTGACTCCAGGCCTTTATGATGATAAGTGGCGATCATTTGAGACCTATTGTACAGAAAAGGCTCAAGATCCCACTATAGCCATTTCTCAGACATCCACAAACGAAGTCAGCCACAATATTATTTTCTTATGGTTGCGAGCTGTCATCCTTCAGGCTTAAGAGATTGCTGATCTCGAGACGCCAAGAGCTAGTTACCCCCATGAGATTCGGGCGGTTGCTTCGACGAAGGCTTTTTACAGTAATTTTTCAAATAGAGCCATCATGGAAGGATGTTTTTCGAGGTCGAGGTCTTCGCTAGCCACTACCTGAGGGACGTGGTTTTCGAAGACGTCAAGGGATTTTGCAGTTTCAGGACCGCTGGTTGTAGCCCAGCAGGTGACCAACCTGTGATGCCATAAATGCAATTAATCATGTTCAGAGCCAGCCTTAACCGACTCACGTAGTTTCATTAGTCGCTTGTTAAAGGGTGTTTTCTCTGCTTTTACGCACTCATGGTTTGGTGAACCAGTGTTTAGACCCTAGCACATGCTATTGTCTCTTACTGTTTGTTTACCCGGACATACTCATACTCTTGCTACCGTTCCGTGGACAGGATTGGTTCATCAGTTACTGATCTGCAGAGAAGAATTGCATCATACTCCTAGTTGTGAGAGTGGTTTTTTAAGTACCACCACCTCCATACCGTTGGATACAGATGCATTAAGGAGTAGAAAAGTTTAAAAAATTAATTTTATATATTTGTATACTTATCCTGCATTACTTCGTCTAAGAGCCCACTTGTCACAGACCTGCCTCCCCACTATAACCTCAGACAATTTATGTGTGACCAACAGTAATATGAAGGTTCCCTGACGCCACCATTTCCAGGAGGACATGGCAGCTGGTGATTGGGGGTCCTGCTGATGGAATGGAACAACCTTTTCAGCAGGACCAATCACAGCTTTATTTCTATCAAAAGCAAGCACTTAATGCCTTATTAATATTTAATTTTAATATTAACAAACCACAAAGTAATACATAATCAATGTATTTTTTTGCTCAGAGCATGATTTGAAGCAATGAAAATAGGGGCCTATAGCGTAACAATGAAGCTAAGATGTGAGTAAAAATACAAGTCAGAATCTAGTTGGTACAAAAGTTACTGGAACTGGTACCATGAAGGGGTTATGGTGATCACAGAATTTCAGTCATTGTGAGCATATATGGCAATACATGGAAAACATGACAGAATACATGATGCATCATGTCTGGCGAAAACATCTTCTCAGAAACCACTGAAACTTCCACATGTTTGTTCCCACCAATGATGACACAACAATTATTAGGAGGTTTGAATCCCATTATATTTTGGCTGCTATGGCAAAATGCTATTCAAAATGTAATAAAAGTTGGTACATATGTAGTTAGTAGTAGGACTCAGTAGTGGGGGTCATTTTTGTCATATTTTAATTTTTGAACTTCACTTTACCTTTGCACTTTGGAACATGCTCTTATATTCTTTCAGAATGCATCTTCTTAAACCACTTGACCAGTAAAGTTGAATTTGTTTATTAGGTTTGAAAGAGACTTTCATTGTGTTGACTATGGTAGTTTTTTTAAAAACTCTTAATAGGCAATGCTCAGCCATTTCTCCACAAAATGAAATAGTACATTCAGTCTTGCAGATTTGGAAACTTTGTGGAAATTTAGATACTTGTTTCATATTTGTGAAGATCCGGGGTAGAATAGCTCTCCAGCAACCCATGCTTGCCGTAGAAGGCGACTATGCTTGTCGTAAGAGGCGACTAACGGGATCGGGTGGTCAGGCTCGCTGACTTGGTTGATGCATGTCATCAATCTCAATTGCGTGGATCGATGCTCATGATATCAATCACTGGATTGTCTGGTCCAGACTCGATTAATAACAGACCGCCGTCATATAGCTGGAATATTGCTGAGGTCGTCGTTTAACAACAAAACAACCAACCAACCATATTTGTTAATACTTTTGGCTTTGGTATATGCAGAAAATGTTTAAATAGCAAGGGTTGTATGTTAACATTTTGAATTGTTGACTACATCTGCAGGTGAACTACAGTGCTGTTGTACTATTTGTTAGGTGTAGATTGGCTTTTGAGAGACCAAAATCATGTAATTGTCACATCGTGAATGTCAATTGTAATTCCCTTCCGTTGTTGATTGACTTGTGTGGAATAGTTGTGTCATGGTACTAATTCTTTCCATTCTTTTATGTTCTGTTTTCATCATCTAATATTTCTATGATGCACTGTTAAGTCTGTGTATAGATAAGCATCTGTTATCTCTACTGGGTAATTAACAAACCGATATGAAGAAGGAACAACTAGAGGAAAATTTTGTTAGTTTAAGAAGACAATACTCACAAATTGCTAATTTGACTGCACATGCTCGCCATCCTGATGTGACTACCATAACAGCAGATTGATGACAAGTAATATGCTGTGTTTGTTTCAACAACCTGTGATAATTTGTAGTGCCTTTAATGGAAGAGTAGAGTTAGAAAGAAATAACTGTTTTGTTCTGACTTTTCACCAAACAAACTACTAGTTTATTTAAAAATTTAGAATAGAATTGTTATCAGCCCCGACCTAACTCATGTTAATTGTGTTGGTGTATAGTTATTTTTCTGTTTGAGGCCTGGATTGCCATGCCATCTCACACACACACGATGCATAGCAGTCCATGGCAGGCATGTGCTTCAGTTATTTACAAAGATGGGGGGGATTGTGGCTCCAAGCCAGAATGGAGTTATTATTTATTATTGTTAATAGCCGAAGCAATAGTTGATTTGGGTACCAAAGATAACATAATAACGAGTGGCTGCTCATCCAATTACTGTCAAAGTTTGTGTCTGCAGCTTTAAATGCTTTGGCAATCATATGGTATTCAGGTTTTTCAGGGTGCTGTTTACTTTGATTTGGGACTTCAAACCCCTGTTGCT